ATGAAGAAGAAAAAATTAGACCAAAATAAGGCCCCTAAGAAGAGCACCATCATGCTAGTGAGCACTTCGAGGTCGCGTGGGATAGTGTGTCACTGCACCAGCAATAGCTTCCAGCCACGAGTTCATGTCATCAGAGTTTGAGGCACAGATCCGATATACGCTATGCCGACCCTCGACTAGCTTACCCGTCTGTTCCGTTTTACAAGCTTTTATTCGTCCATCTTCGTTCAGCGAAAATATCTAAACAATAATTTTCTACTTTTCGCAAAAACACTGTCAAGACCTTAAAACTTTGCTCTCCATTGAAGCTAAAACAGTGCTTTGAAAAGAATGCTAATAAGTTATTTTGCGCAAAAACCCATGAGTAAAAATCGAAATTGTGAATGAACAAGAAGAAGAAAAAACTAAGATGAAGAACCAAAAGGGAAAACTCGAGAAAAATGATAATAAACATAAAGAAGAAATTTTTTGACAAACCTCAAACATGAACGGTCGAGAAGCATTTTCTACCCGCCGAACACCAACATTCTGCAAAGGAATGATGCCGCGAGGTTCCTTGTCGCCTGTCTGCTCGAAGTAATACAGACAAGAGTCACTCAAGACAAACCTGGACAAAGCAGAAATTGAGAAAAGATAGAATTAAGGAGAAAAACCAAACTCGCGAGAACTACACAAAACATGATGATTACAAGAAAAAAGAAAGAAAGAAAAAATGTTGACTGACCATCTCCGTTTCCATGACAGTGGCCCAGATATGAACTGACTACTGCTTTGCTTGTACAGCCAACCTTCACGATCTGGATGCAAAATATTATCCAACCGTGCCGCGTCATCGCAAGGAATTTTGAACTCCCGCGTGCGTATTGAATCAAAAATTTGCGCCAGTAATGCGGTATTCACAGAACCAGCATCAAGTAACTCCTGCAAAAGCAATAAAAATGGATATATGATTTGAAGAAGAAGTTAGCATTACCTTATTCATCATTTGGTAACGTTCAAACGTTGGCCGATCCTTTACATTTGGATTATGCAGCAAGGTGTTAAGCATAATACATGAGTAGGCGATTGTAAAGCATGTATCCGCAGTATCGAAAACTCCTTCAAAAAGTTCAATAATCAACGCTTGACCAACCACGCCTAATTTGAAATATTTTCGTACGAATGACAAAAGAAAAACAAAGTTTATGGCAATTTCATGATGAAAGGCTCCACTTGAAATTTATGGCAGAAAGGAACCAGAGCATTACAAAAAGAGTTTTGAAAAGACAATAAGAAAATGAAGAGGGAAGCAACTATGACCGAAAACAACGCACCTTCATTAGTCGCTACGTACTGCTGTGCAAATCG